AGGCAGCCCTTGAACGACATTTTACTCTTGGTTTAAAAAGGAAAAAATCTCTCTCCTTTCCTAACACTGGAAATGCAAGTGAGAACAGATAGTTATTTCTGTATGCAGGTAATAGGTAAATTAACATTCTGAAACATTCACATTGAGTGTTTCCCCTGCTTTTAACCATTTTCTTGAAGTAACCAAACTGTTCTCTAATTTTTTCTAGCTGAATGCAGATACTGAAAGAGAAGAAGGAGAAGAATTTGAAGACAACATGGATGTTTTTGATGATAGCAGTTCCAGCCCTTCTGGTACCTTAAGAAATTATCCACTCACCTGCAAAGTTGTTTATTCCTATAAGGTTAGTATTTCTGCAACACATTACTGACGTTAAATTGTGAGAACTTGGAGTATGTGCATCACTGCTCCTACCCAGCTGCTCGTGCTGTGGGCAGAAGCAACGTAACGTGCTGGTGAATAGTCTAGGCTCTGACCTCAGAGTTAAAGTTCTGGGTTCAAGTTCTGTCTCTGCTGCCTAGTGTGCTGTATGACCTTACCCTAGTCCTTTAGTCTCTGTGAGCCTTAGTTTCCTTATTTAGATCACGGTTATATGAAGATTAAGCAAGATAATACTTTTATAGCAAAACACTTAGCACAGCACCCAGCATATAGTAAAGTTTCAGTGAATACTGCAGTCGCCTTATATGCAGTTTCAGTTACCTGCCGTGAACCATGGTCTGAAAATAGGTGAGTATAGTACAGTAGGATTTTTTTTAAATTTATTTCCTTCATGAGAGAGGAGAAGAGAGTGAGGAAGAGAGAGAGGCACCCTTGATGGGATCTTCACACCACAACCTCCCCCAAGCCCTGCAGTCAGCCAGAATCACAGGCACACCCACGAGCACACCCAGCACATTCCAGATAGACCCAGGACGCAAACCCAGAGCCTTCCCATGTGGCCTCCAGCATCGTATCAGCCATGCCCCTATGCCGCGCCTCTGTAACTGGCCAGTAAGATCGTCTTAGAGAGAGACCACAGTCACACAAGTTTTATTATACTACGTCTATTACTTGTTACTGTTCATCTCTTACTGTACCTAACTTATAAATCAAGCTTTATCACAGCTATGCACTGTGCATGTACTTCAGGGGGAAATGTTGTAGAATTCTGTACCATGTCCAGTTTCGGGCATCCAGTGGGGATCTTGGACTGTATCTGCCATGGTTAAGAGGGAATGACCGTACAACTCTTACCCTTATTATCAGTGGCCTGCTTGGGAATAGGACCCTCTGTTAAGACAACTCTCAAAATTGATATCAAAGAAGAATGGTTTTACAAAGCAGTTGTTAAAACTCTGCCTTTGAGGACGTGGTGGTTAGGGCGCTGGACACTTCCACATGGCCAACCATGGTTCTAGTCCCAGACCTGGTAGCTTGAACGCGCTCTCTCGCTCGCTCTCTCTCTCTCTCTCTCTCTGTGTGTTTCTCTCTAGTCAAATTAAAAAATAAGTAAATGAATGAATAAAATGAAATAAGTAATTCTTTAAAAAAAAAAAACTCTGCCCTTGGGACGAGTAGGTGGTGTTGTGTTTAAGGCACTGGACTCCCACATGGCCAACTGCAGTTTGAGTCCTTGACCTGGAAGCTGTGTTCTCACTTTCCTCTCTCTCTCTGTCTGTCTCTGGTGAGCACAGGTGCTCTGTAACAAATTTTAAAATTAATAATGATAAATAAAGTTAAATAAATAACTATTTAAAAAAAAAAAACTGTCTTTCCTCATCCTCGTGTTCGCCATGTTAAACATAAACCTGGGAAAATAGATGCCGGAATTTCCAAACCTGATTTGGTGTAATAGTTCATCTCTCTCACCCCTGCCTGGCTTTTCCACTAACTTTCTGCTCAGCACAAAGTAAACGGATTTTCCGTTCCCCAGTTCCTCTCTGTACTCACCCTCTCCTGCAGTCTAGTCTGTCAGCCAGTCCTGTTGCATCCACCCAAATCGACTCCCTTTTCCCCATCTCCACTGCCACGTCTTAGCCCAGGCCATTGCTTCAATGACTGTAAAAGAAAGAAAAAAAAAACTCATAATTGCTCTTCCTCTTTCATCGTTGCTTCCCATAAGTCCATTTCCCACTCTGTGATCAGAATTACCAAGTTTAACATACAAGGGAGGGACCAACAGATGGCATAGTGGTTATGTCGCTGGACTCCCATGTAGTCAACCGTGGTTCAAGTCCCAAACCCAGTGGCTTAAAACTCATGCCAGGTGCATGTGCGTGCATGCTCAAAGTCCCAAGAGAAGAATGGAGGAGAAGGGATTGCAGCATGACCATCCCCCCGGGAGGTGATTTCTCACTTTTTGTCTGTCTGTCTCTGTCTCTCCAGCAAGCACACACACCCTGTAGCAAAAAATCTCTCTTAAAAAAGAAATACAAGGGAGATGATTATGTTCCCCTTTCTAAAGACCTTTTTTAAGTTTTCTGTCATATATAGGGGAAAAAAAAAAGAATTCTTCCCTAGAGTTTAGAGTGTCCAGCCCGCTGTGACCCCGCCTGGCTCCCGAGCTTCATGTGGGATCATTCCCCTAGCTGCCCTCTCACTACACATCAGCCGCTCCAGCTGCCTTTCCATCTTCAGAAGCACCAGGCTCCTTCCTGACTTGACATCTGTGCACTTGCTGCTCTCTGTGCTTAGAACTCTTCCCCCAAACCTCAGTTGACTGCCTGCTGCTCTGCACTAAAGCCTAGCTCAGTACTGCCCCCTAAAGGCAACCCTTCCTGAGTTCATAGCCAGCTCCTCAGTCACTGTCCTCCATCACACTTGCCTTCTTTCACTTACTGTGTAACGGTCAGATGTAATCTTATTTGTCTTTATAGTTATTTGTTGGGTCTCCATTAAATGCTGTGAAGGCAGAAACTTGGCTGTATACCTTCACTGTGTGATTTTAGCACCTAGGACAATGCCCAGCACATAAAAGTCATCAGTAAATAATAGTAGAATGAATAAACAGATGACCTAAGGAAGGCATAAACAAATGAATGCTCTGGTCCCCATTCCAATGGAGACACCAGTGAGAGAGGATTCTACCAAGAGAACGACAGAGAGAGGGTCTGGAGACAATCTGCACCTATTATACGCCGGCCAGTCATACTCCTACCGCCACTGTCCCAGTGTAGCACAAATTGGCAGTGTTTACATCTCAGTATCAGTGATTCCCAGACCTTTTTTAGATCAACATCCTTTCATTTTATTTAAATTTATGATATTTCCTGTTTTCTAAAAGGGTCAGGGTTTTCCTTCCAATGCAAGTTGTTTTGATGACCTTTTGAAAATGTAAGTGCCAGCCCATGGTCTGATGGTTAAGGTGTTTCAATCCCACATGGCTGATCACATGATTCGAGTCCCAAGCCCAGTGACTTAAACATGCCAGACCTGTGTGCATGCATGCCTAAAATCTCAAAAAGAGGGAGAGATGGAGGAGAAGGGATTGAAGCATGACCATGCCCCATGTGGGAGGTGCTTTCTTACATTCTCTCTGCCTCTGTCTGGTGAGTGCAAAATTGAAAAACAGGAAAAAAAAATTTGAAATAATCTTCTGAAATACTTGAAAAGGCCTTATAGGATATTATAAAACTAAGGTTATGAATATTCCGTGATTCCATCTCTCATTGTTATATTTACTTGAAAGTTCCACAATTAAAATGTAAGATCCTTGAAATGGAGAAGGGTCCTAAGTGTTCAAGTGATTTTAAACACCTTATTGTCATCCAACATTCCTCTATTGGCATATCCAAAAAGCCCTCATAATTGCCTCCCAGTAGTTCATTTCTCACTCTGAAATGAATTATCATTTTTCCCTTAGAGAAGAAGAGGGGAGAGGGAGGAAGCACCCCAGTGGGGTACACTCCTTTCTCCATTTCTCCATCCTGTCAGGATTTAAGGCACCCATGCATACATTCCTGGAGTATTCTTCAAGCTACCAGAACTAAGACTCAACCATAGGTTGGTCCTGTCAGATCTAGCTCCCTTAACCACTAGCTTACAGGACCAACCCAGAATTATCTTTAACACATAACGGTGACAATCTTCATTCCCCTTTCTAAAGCCATTTTTAAGCTTTCTATCATATGTAGAAAAAAAATCAACTCTTCCACAGGGTTTATAGTATCCAGCCTAATCCTAGGCATTTCTCCTTTGGTTAAACCAGACTGTACAAATCTAGTCTTATTGTTTATATGCTTTTAAAAGTTAGCACTGGGACCAGCAGATGGCATAATGGACTTGCTAGACTACCACATAGTCATCCGTGATTTGAGTCCTGGACTCAGCAGCTTTAAACTCATGTTGGGCACATGTGTGTGCATGCCCAAAACCCTGAGAGGAGAATGGAGGAGAAGGGATTGCGGCAAGGCCAGCCCCCACCCAGGGTGATTTCTCACTTCCTTGTCTCTCCGGCAAGTGCATGTGCCCTATAACAAAAATCTCTCAAAAAATTTCCCTGAAAACAATTTTCAAGAATCAGGGAAGAGGGGCCAGCAGCTAGCGTAATGGCTATGTTGCTGGACTCCCATGTAGTCGACCACAGTTCGCATTCCAGACCTGGTGGCTTAAAACTCATGCCAGGCACATGTGCGTGTATGCCCAAGATCTTGAGAGAAGAAAGGAGAAGAAGGGACTGTGGCGTGGCCATCCCCCAGGGGGGTGATTTCTCGCTTTCTGTCTCTATGTCTTTCTCTGTCTGGCGAGCGCATGTGCCCTATAACCCTCCCCCAAAAAAAAAAAAGTTAGCACTGTCCTTCATGTTTTGAAGACTGTTTATAATTCATTTTCATAAATTCGTATGGAAATAATGCTTTGACAATGTCAACATTTTATATTAAACATATACCAGTTCATTAAACAAAAATATTTAGTCAGTTAATCATTGAACAAACATTTATTGAGTGCCTGACTTGTGATAACTTGGGGAGAAGTGAGAATGAATATGACCTTATCCTTGCCCTCCAGGAATGGATAGTGTGTAGGAGATAAATATTAAGCTAGAAAATAGAACATATATGAAACAATTTATAGTAAAGGTAAAGCCACTGATTCTACCTGCGATACTTGGGAGAAATTTTACCAATGAAGTGGCATTTAAATTAGGTCCTATGGCCAGCCCAGCCTGGTGGTTAAGCATTGTATATAGTGAACCAGATCCCACATGGCTGACCAGTTCAAATTCCAGCCCCAGTGGATTGAGAAACATGCTGAGTGCATGCGTGTGCATGTCTCAGAATCCTAGTGGGATGGAGAAATGGAGAAGTAAGGGTTGTAATATGACCGTGCCCTATTTAGGGGTGCTTTCTCTTTGGCCAGCCCATGTGCCCTCTAGCAATCAGCTCCTCAGTTAAACAGTATGGTACCTTTCCAGATACCGTGAGAGAGGAAGTTGAAGAAAGAGCCCTTTTTTTCCCTTTCATTAAAAAGGGACAGAAAGAGAGAAAAAAATAAGCACCCTCAGCAGAGTCTCGCACCACAGTCCTGCAGCCAGTCAGAGTCAGACTTGTGCCTATGCACCAGCGTGTACAGGTTGACCCAGGATCCAAACTCCATCGTCCATCTGGCTTCCAGCACTGCAGAAGGTTTTACCACTATGCCACCATGGCTGGGCCAAGGAAAAAGCCTTCTAAGCACACTGAACAGGAGATACAGGGACAGGATATGATGAGAGTGTGGGGTGTTTAGAAAATGTTAAATTCATTGATGTTGGAGTAGTAAATCAGGGGATTAACAGACCAGCCGGACACAAAGGTGTTTGTGTCAGACTGAGGACTTTGATTTTTACTTTGGCTGGAGGGAGTCATTTGGTGTCTGAAATCAAACTCAGCTTTTAAGAAGGTGACCCTGGTCATGGTATGTTTACTCAGCAGGTAGTGTGGAATAGAGACTGACTTCAAGCCTATTCATGATTTCTATAATCCAGACCAATCAAGAAGGCCTAGATTAATCTGGCAAGAATGAAGAAAAGCAACGTTTAATGGTTAGAGTCAGAAGACTTGATACGTTTGCCCCTAATAGCACCAATCCTAAGAAAATGAACCATAATAGAGAAAAAAAATGTGAATACAAAAACGTTTGTTGGTTATGGTACTTCTTTATAATAGCTCAGGGTTGAAAGTCCGGGAAGGGAACAGTCAAGCAAATTAACCATCGTATACTCCAACTATGATATATGGTAATGAGGACTATTGAAACTTATATCCATTTTTTACATAAGAGGAAACACTTATGTTATTATATCAAATTAAAAAGTAGTATCCCAGGGCCAGTTCCATGGCCTAGTGGCTAAGGGAGCTGGATCCCACGTGGCTGGCAGTGTGGTTTGTGTTCCAGTCCTGACGGCCTGAAGGACACACCAGGAGTATGTGCACGCGTGCCCAAAGTCCCAACAAGAAGAAATGTCACCATGCATTGTTACCGTGCTCCGTTGTGGCGTGCCTTCTCCCTTTCCCCCTCTCTCTGTGTTTCTGTCTCTGAAGAGCACTTGTGCCCTCTGGCAAAAAAGAAACAAACGGATTTAGAGATAGATACTATATTGTAGGTACCTTTAAGATCTCAGTTATGCACATTTTTCAGCTTTTCTCCAATTAACATGTGTTACTCTCATAATCAGGAAAAGCGTATTGTTTTAAAAGAAAATACAGGAAATTTGGAAAGATACTGATGGGAATGGAGTTCTGGCTGTCCCAGGATATTAGGACTTAAGAAGACAGTATGAGACCATGAGTAGATGCAGTAACCATCTACCGACGACTTACTGTCTGTAGCTGGGAAGAGTGAGAAGAGATAGTCCTTGCCTTAAGGAAGTCATTCTGTTAGGACACCTTCAAGGTCAATAACTAGAGAGGGCCAGCCCATGGCCTGGTGGTTAAGGCAGCTGAGTCTTGGCCAACGGTGCAGTTTGAGCCTTGGACCTGGTGGCTTGAAAAACACTGGCTGCATGTGTATGCTTGGCCAAAATTTCAAAAGGGAGAAGGGATTGCAGTGTGGCCATACCCCATGGGGTTGCTTTCTCGCTCTCACTCTCTCTCTCTCTGTCTCTGTTTCTCTCCAGCAAGCATGTACTACTCCTGCCTGCCAGATTTTAAAATAAAAACTATAGTGTCAGAGTTAGTCAGTGAGATGCACACGACTTTTGAGAATAAAAGGAGTAATTGGCTAGCTCTCAGAAAACGTGTGAGCTAGGGCCGGTAGGTGGCATGGTGGTTAAGTGCACCGGACTCCCATGTGACTGACTACAGTTTGAGTCCTGGATCCTGGCTTGCTTTCTCACTTTCTCTTTGTCTCTCTTGCTCTCTCGTTCTGTCCCTCTCTGGTCAAATTAAAATAAATAAATAAATAAATTTAAATAAAAATAATTCTTGACTTGTTAGGTCGGGGAACTGGTCACCTCTGCTTCAGGATACGTGGCCAAGCTGGTGTCAGTCTCTCGGAAGAGTACTGTGTTAGTAGACAACCTGCATAGCTCCTTGAATTTTTTTTTTTTTTAAGAATGATTTATTTGAGGCCAGCAGGTGGCATAGTACAGTGGCTAAGGGCACTGGACTCCCACATGCCCAACCGCAGTTCAAATCCCAAACCTAGTGGCTTGCTTTCTCACTTTTCCTCTCTCTCTCTCTCTGGTCAAATTAAAACAAATGAATAAAATAAAGTAATTCTTTAAAAAAAAAACTTAAATTTTAAAAAATAATTTTTTTCTTTTTCTTTTTCTTCATTTTTTTTTTTTTTAGGGGTT